CCTTTCTGATCAACAAGCCTTCCTCACATGGGCTGATTCGGCTTGTGATGATCATCAGATTGGCTCTCCCACTGACCTTACACCTCTGCTGAGTTCGGGGAAACTGCTTGTGCAAGTGAAGGTGACCAGCATAAACGGCCGGAGAGCCAAATACTTAATACCCCGAAATTCCTGTCGGTAACATTTGCCAGCCTATTTTATACACACCTCCCATACACGTACAAAATATGTGCTCCGTATTGAAAAGCATTTCAACTCATTACTAGAGCTTGTTTCCTAATTTTATTGTGTGCTAAATTACAGGTCTGTCTGGCACCAGATCATTTGAATTCTTTTCAGACATCTGCGTGCAATTAGAGCTCTAACCTAAGTGATTTTTTTTTTTTTTTTTTAAGTGACATGGTTCAGGAGTTTAGGGCAGCACATTTGTTCAACGCTAGTCATCTGAATGCAGTCAGTGGTTCTAAAGCCCAGCTTGGGCAACAGAGATGTGCACCATCTAGCCTTTGCTGTTGTTGATTAGTCTATCGTCTAATTAGTGCTATTTTCTTTTCCATCTTAAGCACAGGTAGCATCCAGAACTATGCACTATGAATATAACACAAAGTTAAGCATATGCCTAATTTTCTGTATGGCAATGACCTTAGTGATGTTTGCTTTTCTGTGCTAGTTGAAAACAGATCAATATAATATATACAAGGATTGGCTTTCCAGAATCTCCTGTTTATCTCTGAAGAAAATTCTTTCTACTCTTAAAAAGACACAAATCCTTGGGCAGCTTAGTTAGAAGATCATAAGAGACTAATATTATTTTACCTGCTTTATTTGGATTGCAAGGCCCTGCAAGAGCTTGAGACAAGATGACCAGCACATAAATTGGAAGAGTCACCATTTCTTGCAGCAGTCTGAAGACGCAAGAAATAAAAGCTGAATTTGTCTTCAAAATTGGAAAAAAACAAATCTATTCACTGCAAACCTGGAACTATAACTACTGTTTAACATGTTATCCTTGCAGAGAGAAACAAATAACATTAATGATGCTCTTTCATCCAAACAAATTCTATTTAAAGGACATATGTTTATAAAGACCACTATTATCCCCTGTTGTCACTACTGTGACAATTTTACTAAACAGTAATTTACATTTTAGCTGTGGGCCTCAAGCCTACAAGCTGTTTCCCTTGGGTAGAAACATGTTCCAACAAAGAACAGCCTGCAGGGCTGGGGCTAGATTATTTCTGGTTTTCCTTAAAAATCACTCTTCAGTGTTTGCCCTCAGGTATACATCACTGAGAAGATAATCAGAGGTACAATTATATATGTCACATTTCTTGTGCCCAGCTAAAGACAAAATAGTCTCAATGAGTATTTCCAACAAAAAAGTAATTACAACGTTTTCACTCAGTCTTGATTTAAAATATATGTGTGTGTATATGTATATACATACACACACACAAAAAAAAACCTTAAACAGTAAATATCAGTGACAGTTCCTTCTTATTATAGTCCTATGCATTCTATCAGAAGTTCAATAAAATACCTACAGGATAGGAACGCGATGAGTATTTCAGATTTTCATTCCGCTCTTATTCCTGTAGCTGCGTATTGGCTCTTCCCAAGACGTCCTTCTTTCAAATGAATCCAGCTGGTTTTATCTTCACTTTATATAAGCGATCTTGTAAAAGGAGCCCATCTCTGGTTCAGTCTCAACCCACCAGTATTGTCCAGTGTGGGAGGAATAAAAAAGAGACATAGAAAAAAACAGTTCCTCTGCTCTTGATGATTGTTTGGCTGCCATTTGATTTTTTTTTTTTTTTTCTGGTGTTTTTGGTGGCCTTGAAAATAACTAAGTATTAATCTGCTGAAGGTAAATAACTGGTACTTTTATTTTGTTTTACAAGTTAGTTTGGAAAGGAAAATTTATATGAGGCAGAACAGCAGGTGCCTTCCAGAATTCAATTAAATTATAAACAGATAAGCAGTAAAAATGGTTGAATTCTTATAGTATCTCTCTTAAATGTACATGAGAGAATTATGTGCTCAGTTCACAGTGACAATTTATGGAAATTAGATATCTGGTTTGGATGTTTTATTGACAGTCTCACCCTTTTGTTCCATGCAATAAATAGACAGAAATATTTTCACCATATCATATACCAACTTTTGGGTTACTTTATTTACTTTTTTTTATTGTTGGTCATTTTAATATAATCTCACAGAAATGTAATCTGAAATATTGTATGAAGCTGGGGTTTTCCATAAGTCTAAAAATTACGCTATGCGATTATGCCATCATATTTGTAATGCTGTGTGTGTGTATAAGACTATATAATATCCATTAAATATCACACTACCGAATTTATAAAATTTCTCCTAGAGAAAACTTGGAAGAGTTTGATCTTCACATGACCGTCAGTTGTAAGTTTGCTTTACAATAGTCATAAATAGTCAAACGTACTTGGTTGGGCACATGCATATCCATTTACTGGCCTGCCCTGTGGGACCCGGTGCTGTTCATCAGAGCTGATTTTGGTGCCTCCTTCTGTCCAGCTAATGGTTAGAGCCTCATCCTGCCTCATCTGTGGCAGGGGCTACCTTGGGGTCTAGGGGTCTACCTTCTCATGGGTAGCCTTGGGGAATATAGATATCATGCAATAAGCTGTTCCTGCTGTCACTGGTGCCGGAGGTTTTGAGGGAGAGGGAGTGGGGCAGAACAAGAGTGGTCCTGACCTTCACCTGGATAATTAGGTTGCAGCTCTCCTGTAAGGAAAAGGGAAAAGAGTGGTGAGATTTATGACACTCCAAGAGGTGTTCTTACTCACTTTGCTGCTCTAAATGCAGACTACATATGTTGTGCCATATGGTGATGGAGACTACATGTGTTGTGCTTAAAGCCATATGGTGTTGGCTGCTCCCAGCTGTGACTACACCGCCCATTGTAAGGGATGCTAGTCAGGAGGGGTGAGGATGCTCTGGGACCTGCTCCATTGCTCTATTGGCCTTGAAGAGGTGTTGCCATTACACCCACAGAATGTGTGTCATTGATTTGTCCCACGACGTGATTTGGAGACACAGATCACACGGTGCTAAACAGGCTGCTCCCTCACTTCTTGTGAGCCAGGTCCTGCAAGCTGTGGCATACCGACTTAAATGAGATTATTTGAACGTGTGCACAGAGATAGGGCTGGTTGTTATTTTAGTTGAATTAAGGAGTAATCCGCTGAACAGGAAACAAAGTTTATAATAATCCCTTTTTAGATCACACTAGATTATTTAAGAACTGAAATCCTAAAATAAAGATTTAATTCCATATGTCTGTTTTTATAGCCTCACCCCAAATTCTTCTCCAGGCACTATGAAGCCCAGATTTGAATTCCAGATCCCAACTCTGACTGAATGTACACTTTGTAAAGATTCATTTATTTTTATCTTTGTGTGCGTGTGTACATGTGTCTCTACACTTAGTCTGGGACTAGAAACCTGAGACTGCTGAGATATTGTGACTTGCCCTGTTGTCAAGTCTGTACAGCCCATGAACACAGTCCTTGTAACTTTGATCAAATCAATTTTTCAAGCTCAAAGGATCGGATTCAGCTCTGGGTTGAGCTTAGGTCTCTCAGGCCTACCCATGGACTGATTTGGAGCATAAGGTATTCCGTAAAATCTAATCCAAGGTTATCCCAGTAATGGACATAATGTAATTATCTTGCTAAAAAGCATGCAAATTTTCAACTTCGTTCTGATGTTAAGAAAAGCATTTGAAACCAATATCTTGCTAAAAAGCATGATGTTCTGATGTTAAGAAAAGCATTTGAAAGGTATAATTAGCTTTGTTCTGAGGATAATGAAATGAAATTGTTGTTGGTCTAATCCTATGGGTTTTAGTGCACTTACTCCACGATGGATCTAGCCCCATCGTTTTTGAAAGAAAATAAATCTCTCATATCTGCTCACAGAAGAGTAGTCTTCGTGTACATGATATCCCTTTTAGGTGAAAGGTACAAAGCAGAATGAAGTTCATGAAACAAATTTGGTGAAAGTGCGAATGGGCTGTAGATGTTTGTATTTGCATTTGAAACAAGTGCAAAATGTACTTAAGCTAAACAGTAATTGATACCTGCACTGATCAAAGGTGAAGGCTTGGGAAGGCTTAGGTTTCTCAGTAATTGCATATACAAAAAAAGGAAAGTCATTTAATTGCAAAGGACACCATTCAGTTTTGTAGCATTTTCCTGAGTCTTTTCAACCCCGTTGAATAATTTCATCAATCTAAGTATCTGTAAAGATTTTAACAAAGAGTAAATGAAGGCCTTATTGTGAATTTAACCTAAAAGGGCAGCTTGTCTCTTCAGTTTTGTTCCTCTCACCATGACTGAAAGCTTTGTGAATATCTACTGTCTGGTTTGTACCTGAAGGGAATGAGGTTCTGCTGTTTGAATATGCAAGCGATACTGTGACATCCATTTTTCATTGACTTACATAAGACAATAAACCTGAAGAGCTCTCATAGCTAAATGAAAGGATCTTATGGGATAAGAGTAATCAATGGAAAAGCCTCATGGGTTCTAGGAAGAGTGAGGTCTGGTGGCACTTGCTTAGAGAACACAGTGCATTGGTGCTGTTTCCAAATATGTGCCAAAACTTGGCATACTTAAGAGCCTTGTCTAAGGGGAGAAAAAAAAAAAGTATATCTACCCCACAGATGCAAAGACAACCAGGCTAGGTCTCAAAGTATAAAAACTGCATTTGTATCGTACTGAATCTTAGTTAATACGTCCTGTTGTGAAAACACAGCACGATGTTGGTATGGCCAGAGTTGTTCTGGATTCTGAGTCCATAGAGAGCTGTGCCCTACCTATGTAGGAATCTATCCTATGTAGATTTGTTGCCTCAAGTCATAAATAGCTTGTGAATTTCAGCATTGTTTTGCATTTTACAGAGTAAATACCTTTCAAATAATTAGTTATTCATACCAGGTTGTTAGTCAGTCTTGTAAGCACATGATGTTGTTTCAGCCTCACAAGTGGATGGTAGAACTATGCAGGTTCATAATAGAGCACCTAGGGCTCACAGGCACTCAGCACCCATAAATACTCAGATAGCTTGCATTTTTCAATAACTCTATAAAAATCAAATCAGAGCAAGGAAAATTAGAGGAAATTATGTTTATGGGAGAGAAGGTACTCTAGAAAAATCAGATGGAGGTTATGACTACCAGAGGAGACAGTCTTTTGCTATATAAATTTTTTATGCATCTGCTGTCTGTGTAACTATTAAGGATGAATCACAATTTTTAGCCATCACCTTAAGCCGTATGCTTGGCACAGCAGTACTGCTCTACTGCTGTTTCTACATGCACTGCCTGGGGTGCGGGTGAGCACAGCTGGAGCAGCGTTCTGCAGTCCAAGGCAGAATGTCTTGTCTCAATCAACTACAACAGCAAATCACACAGAGTGTAGAATCGAGGCTGAAGTAAATAATCATGTTTTGTGGTCATCTCAACGGCTGTTCTTGTCTTGTTTAACTTTTTCAGTGTATTCAAAGTAATATTCTTTGGAGCAATGAATTTTTGCCTGGAATTTGCCACTGTAGGAACAAGGAATTAGTTTCCAGCTGAGCTTCCCTGAAGCCTCTGTGCAGGTAAGTGCTTGTTTGTCATATTTCTTTATGGACTGTCTTAGAGTTAGCTAGTTACACAGGATAAGAGGTTAGGGCTTTCTTCAATAAAAGCATGAGAAACAAAACAGGCCTGTCAAGGGATGGGCCATATGAGAGCACAACTGATGACTTATGCTGGTCACATGAGACCTTAGTCATTCTTGCACTGCTGTCTCATTTTGGAGATGCTTAAACTTGCCAGGTGTTTGATTCATTTGCCTATGTAGTTGCTTA